CACAATACCAGTAAATATATTATTATATATATGATTTTAATACTCGTATTAGAATAAAGTACAAGATGGTAATTTATTATCAACTCCCTAATTGTGTATAAATCTATTTATATTGTTGTTTATGCTGTAGATTATAATATTGTTACCATAATAAAACTCATCTATGCATGTTAAATTAATACATTAAATTGTTATTATATGTTAATTTATTCATTCTATTGACCTTTGCCTTATATATTGAATAACAAATCAAACTGTGTATTGTTGTTGGTGTTTTTTCTTCAATTTTATCATAAGAGCATACATTTCAGTTAGTGTAAATTGACTGATGTAAGCAATTCACTTTCAAATAAATAACATAGGCCTACACCCCGTACTATACAATAATTGTACACGTATATGATTTGCTAAAATACCAAAAACAACAAATAATATGGAATTTTAATTTTGTTATTATTTCATTAATTAATGGAATATATCAAAATATCAAATGAATTTATTTACGTCAAGTATGGCAGTAAACAAATTATTTATCATATCGTTCAGAACAGACAAATATGTATGACTAATTAGCATAAAGTTGACAACACAAACAAACGAAAACAGGTTTAATTACCTAGCGTTCTACACAGTATCAAAGTACTTAAAGTACTGATGGAAGGCGAAAATATAATTTGATTGTGACACCTCATGTTGCGATATTTAGAAAGTCTTGCTTCTGAAATCAGTCTTACATGTATGACCAAAACTGAGCTAGAAATTTAAAACGTTTCACAGAAAAGAGACTTAAGACTCATACATGTGTCACAGGGTGAGAAAAATGTGCAGCCTGACCGGGACTCGAACCCGGGACCCTCGGAATACCGTTCCGCGACTCTACCGACTGAGCTAACCGGCCGCTTACACATCTTCTCCCCTAAATAGTGAACAGTTCAGAACCGTGACATACTCCCCTGCTATATTGAAATTCGTCCTCGAATTTTACAGAGTTACAGAGTAATGTAAATTAAACTCTGAGCTATATCAGTCACGGCCCCACGTTGGGCGCCAAATGTCACAGGGTGAGAAAAATGTGCAGCCTGACCGGGACTCGAACCCGGGACCCTCGGAATACCGTTCCGCGACTCTACCGACTGAGCTATCCGGCCGCTTACACATCTTCTCCCCTAAATAGTGAACAGTTCAGAACCGTGACACATGTATGTTGTAACTTCTTCAATTTCAAAGCTCCTGTCATAATATTGCTGGGAAATAAATAAGTCCAAAACCTTAAGTCTATGACTAAAAAATAAGAATGTTAATGGAACAAATCTTAAGTGAAAAATGATAAACTCCCGAAGTATAGGTCTTGTGTATTATGTCTTGAAGATTATCTTAATAAATTTAGTATAAAATGGTAAATATGTTTTTACTTGAAATTTATTTTACGACAATTCACATAGTCTCTCCTACAGTATCATCAAAGAATATGTATATATTATATTATTACATTTAAGTTATATTAAGAGAAAGCTTTTGTATTATACACTGCGTCTCATGTTTTATTAAGACTATGACCATGAAATAATAACAATAACAAATCTATATTTAATTGTAAATGTTATAAACAGGATATATGTTTGATAATGTGTAAGATAACATTTTATCTTTAACAACAGTATTCTCACGAGTGACGTAATCCACTCGAAAGCGTAAAATAAATGTATATACATTTGTATTTTGGTGTAACTTATATTTATGTATGCTATGTATCTTAAAGTTGCAAGCCTCCAGATAGCAAACATTGTTCAAGGAAATCAAACTTGAGGAAAAATGTACGAAAAATTTAAGAAAAGTGAATTGATTCAACATTCAAGTAATAATTTAAATGTTTTGCGCGACTGATGACTGATTTTGCAGTATTTATCACCATATTTTCTACTGCATGACTAACGCAGTAATGGTTGTATTTATCATATTTTGACTCATTTTTTTGTGTTTACCTGATTGTAAGTACTGTTTGCAATGCGTAAATTACTTTGTTTGTTCACTTCATAATATTTTAATTTTAAATACATTTTCAAAATTTTCATGAAAATTAGCTTGAATCTGGATGCATATTGCTTCTGTTGGTGGTTTTATTATATAACCAAAGACAATATCATTTAAGTTTGAAACTTTGATAATCAATACGATTTAAAAAGTAAAATCCATAACAAATTATATATTTTCAATTCTTTCCCAACAAGCAATTCTTTGTAGATATTGAAAATGTCTTGATGTTTTGATAAGCTAAAAGACACATACATTTATATATTGATAACCTTTTCCCTATTAAAATACCAGCTCGAAATTTATGAAGTTATCCAACGTGTATAAGGTTGTGTTTCCTGGGCTGCAATATCAAAAATGTACAAGGATTAAGGCCGCCCAGGGAGCTTTATTCGGCGAAACAGATTTGCCAACCTTTTATCTCCATAAATACATGTACATATACACATCGTATATTCCATAACTTTTAAGACTTAAGCGAGACACGTGTTCCCCTTTCAACTATATGAAACTAAACGTTATCTTTCACAAAAAATATTTTCCAACTACGCAAAACAAAGAATTCAATAATTTTTGATCAATAAAGAAAAAAACATTCACTTGAAAAAGTTAGCCTGTTTAAACTTTAGTTAGAAAGACCTTCAAATTATCACTGAATTTGTTTATTTGGAGAGGAAAACGTTTAATTGGTCACGTTTTCATCTTTATAATCTATGTATAAGATATATTAATATAGAGTTTTATTGCAATCAATTGTCCTCAAGATTTAACACTAGAATATTTAACACTAGAATCTAAGGGAGCCTTGTAAACATTGCTTAAATTGTTAATTATAATTAACAAAAGTAATTTATACCACCACAGAGCGCTAATAGATGATGTTTTTATATTCAAGGTGAAGAAATTGATTTTTAGCCTAAATAATTGTGGAACAAGCCGAGTTTTATATTGGGAGAATGAGTTTAGTTGTTACATAATTATGTAAATATTAAGTGTAGTCAATATTTTTTTTTAATATTAATTCAAAGCGGACTGGTATACTTTGATGTTCTTTCAGTACCAAACAAAATGATATAATGCTTAATTTTATCTAAAAAATTGAAATCTGGCAACAACTTTGCGATGAATGATTCGTCAGTAGTCAAATTTCAAATGGACCTTTGAAAAAGGGGACCTTAACAATATGAAAATAGTTGTCTTAAGTCAATTTTAATCATTCCATTGTCTCTAAAAAGAGGAAAAACCAACCTCAAACCATTTGAACATACTGACATTCATAATTTTGGGGAAGAGTCAATACGGGTCCAGAAATGATTGACAGCAGCTTGATAATATCAGTTACAAATTGTTTTTTAAGTACATTTGTTTGTATTTTACATGAAGTGCAAAATAGATAATACTTTCAAATTTATACTGTATATAGATATATAACCTAAAAATCGTAGTATTTAAGATTTACGGGGTATGCTATGTATATGGAAATATGAAGTGCCAAGTTAGACTGAGGGATGGTCCCATTTAGTTCGACAACTCACATTTAGACTATGACGTCATTTTAAGTATCGATTACATCGTATCTTGTAGGAGGGACGGTCAGAAAATATCCGGACTTTTGACTCGTTCTCGAAAACCATATAACATTTTAAAAAAATCTTTCTACTGTTTTTCAAAATATTCTCCACCTACGTCTACGCACTTTGCCATCTTCGTGGGAGCTTTTGTATTCCCGCGTAGACCTATGTTTTAGGTACTGTGTAACATCAGATATCAAAGCCGCCCTGGTCTTATATTTCTTTCCAGCAACAATTTTTTCAGTTCTGGAAACAAATAAAAGTCACAGGGGGCGAGGTCTGGGCTATAAGGAGGGTGAGACAACAATTGCTATTTGTAAGAGTTGATAACCTCCACTGTAGCTGCGGCGGTATGGGAGGGGGCGTTATCGTGAAGAAGGAGGACATTTTTCTGTGCTAACCTGGGACGCATTTGCTTCAGCTTTTCTCTAAGATTTTTCAGAATTACTCAGAATTACTTCAGAATAGTACTTGGCGGTGACAGTTTGACCTTTTGGCATGAAATGAGTAAGTAGCATTCCTCGTGAATCCCAAAAGGCAACAAGCATGACTTTGCCAGCCGAAGGAGACAGCTTAAACTTTTTAGGAGGTGGGGAACCAGCTCGTTTCCACTGCTTTGACTGAGCTTTTGTCTCAGGTTCGGAATAATGAACCCACATCTCATCTCCAGTGATAATGCGGTTCAAAAACTTATCTCCTTCACGATTAAAACGACTTAAATGTTCTTTTGCATTGGTTACTCTGGTTGCCTTTTGATCTGCGGACAGCTGTCTAGGCACCCACCTGGCACTTACCTTGCTCATGCCTAGGTGTTCGTGTAAAATCTTGTGTGCCGATGCCTTACCGATGCTAAACTTGTTGGCTACCTCCTCCAAAGTTACTCGACGATTTTTGTTGACAAAAGCTTTAACATTTGCTACCATTGTTGGGGTCACCGCCTCAGCTGGCCGCCCAGTCCTAGGCCTGTCACAAACACTTGTTCTGCCTTCACGAAACTGAGAAACCCAGTTGTAGAAGGTTGAACGTGATACACATTTATCAGAAAATCTTTTTTAAGCCTCTGAAAGATGTGGCAGGGCTTTTCACCTTCTGCAACCAGAAACTTTATTACAGAGCGTTGTTCCTCTAACAAAGAGTCCATGATAGACGAAACACCTATCATATATCAGAGGGCAAAATACTGTGTATACAAAAATAAACTGAACACGTTATTGGGGAATGAATGTAGTTTTCACCAATATTTAATGTGTGTATATAGCTGCACGTGGAAAGAGAGGAGCATGAAAAGTCCGGATATTTTCTGACCGTCCCTCGTAAATGTCCAATAAGAGAAGTAAATTAGAAGTTTTAAACCCAATATTCTTGGAAGCCCGATCCTCGTTTCTATACATCACATATCAGGTATATAAATAATGCAATGTTCGATAGGGAATTAGTTGATTAAAATTTTTGGCAGAAACGCTGGTATTTTGTGACGCAAATATTGCCAGAGAAAAGGAGCGGAATAAAGTAAAGAAATGACTTTTACAAAGATGTTGACGCGGTTGGTTGTTTTTACGTATATTTGTTTAGGTAAGTAGTAATGAAAAAATAAACACAATTTATTAAATTGTTTTTAACTATTATTTTTTTCTAATGTTAATTGATTGACTTCTTGATAATTTCATTTTATCATTTTTTTTATTTATTATTTTTTTTTAATTTTTGAGATGATTCTCTGCATGAGAAGGAATTACAAGATTACTAAATATTTCTTTTTAAAAATATCGGTGAACTTTTAAACAGTTTTGAAAATGTAAAAATATTTTAAGCAGATATTAGAGCCACCGGGATATTTAAGACGTTTTTAATTTGTCCTGAAAAAAACAACAAAAAAAAAAAACAAAACAAAAAAAACACAAAAACACATAAAATATTCACAGATGCTTGGCAATTAATTAATCATTTATGTAATACGTAATATGTAGACGTCTATAAAAATTAAACATACTCAGCAACGTAGTCCAAGAGCAACTGTAGCTGTTTAAGGTAGAATATAGGTATACAACGGGATATTTAGGACGTTTTTAATTTGTCCTGAAAATACAAAAAAGCACATAAAATTAATAGATGTTTGAAAATTAATTATTTATGTAATAAATAGAAGTCTATAAAAATTAAACGTACTCAGCAACGTAGTCCCAGAGCGACTGTAGCTGTTTAAGGTACAATATATGTCCCTATAATAGGAAATAATTGTATTTCAAAATGCAAAGAAGAAAATTCTTGAATTTTCTTAAATCGCACGATTAAAGATAATCATGATTGAAACAAATTGTTATGAAAACAAATTAAGGGGTCACCACCCTGCTGTTTGAATAACCTGCTCCTGAAAGAGATTTTTCTTGGCTCTTTTGAGTCTTTTACAGTCGTTCCAATGTCGCTCACTTTATATTATTTATTTTCTGTCTATTACTTACTTTCTGCTGTATGACAAAGATGTTTGAGAATATATTTTCAAGTTGTGGAAGGTTGTGGGCGTTTGAAGTGTTACCAATGTAACTCTCAGGATTCCCCGACAACGTGTGGAGAGAAAAACTTTAATGCTGATGCCCACAAGGATACCACAGTCAGCGGAAGCACATTGGTTAATTCATTGAACGGTGGAACCAGCTGTATACGTGGCTATGCTATAAACGACAAGGGAACATGTAAGCAGCTTATAATCATGCTCCTGTTCAAAGATGTTGTGTTGTTTCTTTCTCTATGATAAAAGAATTCTCTTGTGTAACTGACCCCTATTGGTTTGAAAAAAGTATTGTTTTTCTTCAATATATAAAAATAAATGCATTGCCAAGATTACAATGCTTATAGATTAAATAGGAATAACGTAGATTTTTTTTAAAGTTGATAATAAAGATTTTTCTTTTCTGTTGCTCGAGCTGCATAATTATGTATACATCATTATCCTTGTGATCAATTGACTCTCTGAGTATGGTTGTTTATCTCCTTAAAAGCAAATGGCTAATACGTGAAATCATTGCTTAATTGTTATATCATAAATTCGTACTTAAAATAGCAATATAATATTTTGTTTCGGGGAATTTTTTCGGCTTGTGTATGTAGTACAGTATTTATTTATCGTAAATAACATAAACATTCTATGTTACACCTCTTTCGATTAATCGCAACATAATTTTACCGCTTTGATTTTTTTAGGTATAGCGTGATGCTCACGATAAAACAAATTCAGTCATAATATACATGCGAATAAGGAAGAAACGGCATATTCCAAAGGCCAAACAAGTTTTCTCCCCGTACTGCACATTATGGTGCCTGAGTTGGTACACTGCGCATTGCGTTGTCGAGAGCGACAACACAACCTATATTGTTATCGCCTTTTCGTCTTGTCGCTAGCGATAACACGACAAAGCGCCAAACGGCGCGTTGTCGCACTGTCGTCTTGTCTCTAGCGAAGCACGCCAAATGGCACGTTGTCGTGAGGCGCGTTGTCGCGATGTCGCCCTGTCGCTTGGCTTATAAGCCAATCCTTCGATTTGAACCGAGCGACAATAAACATCGCAACAACATGCCGTTTGGCGTACATCGTAAGCGACAGGACGACAAGACGAAAGTCCGACAACGTGCCGCTTGGCGCTTTGTCCTGTTGTCGCTAGCGCCAACACGACGCACAAAAGCGTCCAAAATCAGCCACCATAGCACTTATATGTTGTTTATTTTTCTGGTCCTTTGAGATAATTTATTCTAGCACATATAGTATTGTAGACTGGACGCCGCTTGTTAAAGATCGTATACTGCTTGACCCATTACTTCATGAGATTTTTGTGAAAAATGGCTGTTTTCATTGAAAAAAGTTCAAATTGCTATGAACTATAAAATAGGCTTTAATACTGATCAAACTTGGCACAAATGTTGACTTGTAACGGCATATACAATCTTAAATTTCCTGTTCACATAGCAACGAGGTGACATCTCAAAATTGCCAAAAATCACTATTTTGCGTTGATTTTCCATCCGAACTGATTTCAAACTGCTGCAACTTCTCAATGGATTGAGTCAAAGGCTTTTCAGCGTTGGTTACATGTTACCTTAAGGTTGATCTGAGGCCATTTTAGCCTCTCACAAGTCCACAGTTTTCTTGGGGATGAAGAGGTCTGCTGACCACCTTCAACCCCCCAAGCAGAAAGGGGCACACCCCCCTCTGGCACCCCATTGATGTATCTATTTGATAGGCGATGGCACCGAAAAAGTGCTCACATTTTTAACACCATTTATCAAACGAAAACAAGTGTTTGGTGTCTAAATAGGGCATTTTCACTATTTGAGGCCTCAAAGGGGAGGGGGGGGGGGGTTGAAAGCCGTCAAAACAGGTCTATATGAAGTAAAGGGTTAAGTCGGTATGGGGCGTGAGAGTCGTTGCACTTTCACATTATCTCTAATATACAGACTCAATCAAACCAAGTCTTCATTATCATTTCCACTGCTTCTGATGAATCTCTCTTTTTTCATTTGACCAACAAACTTTCTTGCCAAATGGGGTTCATAACATATCTCACACCCTTGTCATCACCGTATTTTCAACGCCTTGAGTATTTTAATGAACGTAACCGGTTTGAAAACAGAGGACAATACTATAAAATGAAACACGGTACAACATTTTACAGTTTCTAATACTGAAAATGTACTTGTGTAAGGATAGAAATTCTGAAAATGATAAGATCGATCAAGACCAACGAAATAAGAACCCAAATAAGAAATCAACTCAACACATAGCCGAGGAAACAACAATGCCGGTCAAAATTCATACAGGCAGTTGATAGGTTATCTGAATTGCTTTATTACTTCAGTAAATGAAATTTGGCGATACACTGTATTTCTTATTAACTTTAATTTCAGACTATTATCGTGACAAATCAAATGCGGCCCTTTGGGATGGATGCACGACTCCACAAACGTGTGCTTGCAGCGAAGATCTCTGTAACTCTAAAGGGTCTAGGGGGATCTATGTGACCTCAACCTTTCTCTTCTGTTCCTTGGCAACGGTTGTTGTACAGAAGATGACGTTTTGATACCTGTTGATACTGGTTGTGATATGAAGGACTGTCATACTTTTATCATTGCTAGAATTAGAATTTTAATGATAAGATCATATGTACATGTACTTTTTTTGAATAAATTAGGTGTGTGCGTGCTCGTGTTTCTTTATTCTATGAGTTTTACGAATATTATGTACTTTTTTCAATATTAGTTAATATGAATGTGTGGAAGATAGCGTTTGGAGTGTTCTTTTGAACAATTAGTTATTAGAACTACCGATGGATTCAGACCACAATAGGCATAATATTTTTTACCTTTTGCCTTCTTTCTAGAACCGTGCAACAAACAATGGAAACAGTTAAACATGCACGTGAGGCACATTCTTTACTCATATCTTTAGGTTCTATTTCATCATATGTAGACTCGTAAGGTTTTGTTTTTGTTAAATATGTTCAGCATTAACTGTCAGCATATGTTTACAAGGGACTCCACTGAGCGTCTTTACATGGCGTAGCTGAGAATAAGTTTTCGATAATATATTTTTATTTTATGTCGGTGTTGACAAATAACTTTAGTGCAAAATGTCTGATCATTAGCTCACTCCGTTTCACCAGATTGTGAAAAATAATTTAAAATTAAAACGCGTTACAACGCTTTTCACTCAAATCGGTCTAAGAATGACTGAAAATACAATTATCAATGTAATTCTGAGTATATTTCTTACTTATCTTTTGCACATCCTTCCGAATTAAGTGCCCCAGGTGATCTATGTAGGAAATTAAACTTCATGTTTTAGACTTTTTGACCTCAGTGGAGTTCTTTAAAAAAAAGAAAATGTTACGTTTTACTGCAGTGCAATAAGGGATTGGAATTCATTACCATATGCAAGTAAGAAAATAGTTAAAAAACAATATTACAGTCAACTATCGTTATCTCGACATCGCTTTTCTCGATATTTCGTTATCTCGATGAAATTTTGAAAGTCCCGATTTTCTTCCTTCTTTATCTATATTGGAAATATTTGTTTATCTCGATATTAAAATTTAAAATGGTTGTTATAAATCACATTATCTAGAACATTGTAACACTCAAACATAATATGTATCGTTTAATTTAAGAATGTTAATATAGGAACATCCAAATCCTACACATATTTTGGTATACATTGGTCTAATCCATTGTTTTTCTTTTTTGTATATTGGTATGTACAATAATGTAAGTAAAAATCAATGGACCCAAACAGAAGTAAGTTTTTATAGGTTTGTTTCTTTTGCATTTCTTAGTTTATGTATCACATGGCATATCTTTCTTAACTGTATTCCAAGTAAGAAATTAGTATTTATCTATATGTAAGTTTATTTACATTATGTTTCTCGAGTAAGTGCAAGTTGCATATTGTACAGTTGTAAATTGTATCTTTAACATATAATTTCTTTTTGATTTTTTGTGATTTTTTAAAAAAAAATATTGTATTAAAGTAGATGTGATAGTTATTTGTAGTTATAATTTTTATCAATCAATCAATCAATTTAGTGTAACTTTTGAACAAGTCGTTATTCTAAAATGTAGTCTTCTGAACACAGGTGCGATGGAAAAACCGATTTTTCTTTGTACCGAATTTTTTACTTCGATGTTAATTTTTCGTTTAATTTATTCGTATTTTGAAGCGGAGCATGCGCATAACATTTTTGTATACTGGATCTAATGATTTTAGGCTTAAAATGCAATGCATTATCTTCACTTTGATACGCAAAAATGGATGCGGCCAGCAATCATTCTCAACACTGTGGAGAGGTCTGATGCAAAGCAGAAAGTAAAAGGACAGATTTATTTTAAAGTACATGCTCACATTCCCGCGTTCCGTATACACAAGGTGTTATAGGAATTCTTTCAAACAGAGTGCCAAAAGTGAATGGCAAAACATAGATTTTGGAGTCAGAAACGTTTCATTAATCACGTTTTTTTCCTTATGTATAGGATTCTATATATACACGTTTATGTTTAAGATGCTAATTTCATTTCCTGAGGTTTTTATAGAACCTTGCAAACATTGCTTAGATTGTGATTTATACCACCACTTTCCATTTTGATACTTAATAATAGTAGTACAAGTATTTTGAAATGCCCAGTTCTTTTCAACCAGAGTTATCACTGAAGTTGATTTATAACTTTAAAATACTAAGTACAAAGTACCTGTTTGTGACCACAATCAAACAAAGACCACTAATAGATGATGCGAGTAAACTCGAGTTGAAGAAAACTGATTTTTAGTCTGAAAAATTGTGAAATAAAATGAGTTTGTAAAGGGAGAATGGGTTAGTTGTTAAATAATTATGTGGATATTTAGCATAGTCACTAAAACAAATTTAAGTATTTTATCTAGTCAATAAAAAAGATTTTTATTGTATTTAAAGTATTAATGCAAAGCAGTCTGGTATACCTTGATGTTCCATCAGTACCAATATAAATGAAATCTCTAAAGCGCGGTTTTTGTTTTGTTTTTGTTTTTACTTTGAATTGATTACAATTTTGCGATGAATGAGTGGTCAGAAGCTAAATTTCAAATGGATCTTTTCATTCCAAAGAGAAAAAGGTAACAATGTAAAAATAGTGGTCTTAAGTCAATTTTGAATCATTTAATTGTTTCGTTCATCCGGCAATTTAGAATGAGGGATGGTCCCATGTACTTCGACGACTCGTCATTTTGACCATGACGCAATTTTGAGTTTTGAGTAAATAAATTAAATACACGTTATTCATAGAAGGTTGATCCTAATTAACATAAATGATGTGTAATAAATCCCGTGTAAATTACAAATACATACTAGGTATATAAACAATGTTGAACAGGGAATTATTTTATTAAAATTTTGGCAGAGACGGAGGTAGTTTTTGATGTCCTAAGAATAGAAGCGGTATAACGTATAGAAATGATTTTTACAAAGGATTTTACTCGGTTGATTGTTTTCACGTTTTCCTGTTTAGGTAAGAAGTAAAAAAGTACACAATTCGTGTTATTATACCCCCGCACAACAAAGTTGTAAGGGGGGTATACTGGAATCAGCTTGTCCGTCCGTCCGGCCGTCCGGCCGTCCGTCCGGCCGTCGTTTTTTCTTGTCCGCCCAATAACTTAAATTCCTTTGACCTTAGTCTTCATATTGGCCATGAAGGTTAGTCATGATTAGTAGATGACCCCTATTGATTTTGAGGTCACTAGGTCAAAGGTCAAGGGTCAACAGGGGTCTTGACTTCAAAAGCTTGTCCACCCAATAACTTAAGATTCCTATGACCCATAGTCTTCATATTTGGCATGGAGGAGTTAGTCCTGATTAGTAGATGACCCCTATTGAACTTTGAGGTCACCAGGTCAAAGGTCAAGGTCACAGGACCTTGACTTCAAAAAGCTTGTCCGCCCAATAACTTAAGATTCCTTTGACCACACAGTCTTCATTATTTGGCATGGATGTTGATCATGATAAGTAGATGACCCCTATAGACTTTGAGGTCAACAGGTCAAAGGTCAAGGTCACAGGGGCCTTGACTTCAAAAAGCTTGTCCGCCCAATTACTTAAGATTCCTTTGACCCACAGTCTTCATATTTGGCATGCAGGTTAGTCATGGTAAGTAGATGACCCCTATTGACTTTGAGGTCACCAGGTCAAAGGTCAAGGTCACAGGGGCCTTGACTTCAAAAAAGCTTGTCCGCCCAATAACTTAAGATTCCTTTGACCCACTGTCTTCATATGTTGGCATGCAGGTTAGTCATGATTAGTAGATGACCCTATTGACTTTGAGGTCACCAGGTCAAAGGTCAAGGTCAGAGGGACTTTGACTTCAAAAAGTTTGTCTGCCCCAATAACTTTAGATTCTTTTGACCCACAGTCTTCATATTTGGCATGGAGGTTAGTCATGATTAGTAGATGACCCCTATTTATTTTAAGGTCACTGGATCAAAGGTCAAGGTCATAGGGACTTTGACTTCAATAAGTATGTCCACCCATTAACTTAAGATTCCTTTGACCAACAGTCTTCATATTTGGCATGGATGTTGATCATGACAATAAGGTGACCCCTATTTATTTTGAGGTCACTGGGTCAAAGGTCAAGGTCACCGGGACCTGTGACAAAAAAAAAGATTTTCTTCTCAATTGCTAAAGAATGTCCTGTCCTCGCAATGTATTGATTTTGACATTTTCACATTTGAAGCATGTAGAATACATAACTTAGCAATGTACTGGCTTAGTAACCTCAGATTTGGCAGGGAGGTTGTCCTTCAGCTCTAAATGGCCACTGTTGATTCTGACAAAGTGGTATGCGGGGGTATTCACGCCATCATAGTGGCAGTTCTAGTTGTTTTAAAGATTTAAATTTAATGTTATCTAAATGTTGACTTAAAGATTTCATTTTATCATGCTTTATTTTTAAGTTTTGAGGTAAATTTCTACATGAGAAAAGTACAGTTACTTTAAAAAGTTCTTATAGTATCGGTAAAACTTGAAAATCTGTTTTTGGCGAAAATGTGAATAAACTTTAAATTGTTAAAAACAGTTTATTCAGAGGCCACCCAAAAATACTTTCAACCTGTTTATATTTCGTATAAAAATAAAAAAAAAGCCTATATTTGAAAATTAACTTGTTATCTTAAAAAGAAGCGGGGGCTAGTAAAAAAGTCAAACAATATAAACAGTTCAAAAAGGAGCGACGTAGATGCGACTGTAGCCTAATGGGAAAATATAGTATTTCTAAAAATTACAAAATTTAAACTAGCGTATCTAGAAACTTTCTTATATCTCAAGATAAAAGATTACCTTGATTGAAACAAATTTGATAATTGATAAAATAATACTACTTTTTTATTACCCTTGCATTTGAAAGTGATTTCTTTGCTCTTTTTGAACTGTTTTAAAACTATCAATCGCAAGGACTAAATCCGAAACATTTCCACATTATCTGTTAAGCTGAAAAATTATTAGTATACAGATACTTTTATTTTATGCTTTACAGGTGATACTGATTTATCCGTGAAAGTTATATTTGATAATTTCACAAAATATAATTTCACCCTTTTCAATGACCGAACTTTTTTTTTTTAAATGTTTCCCCATGTGCGTACCCTTAATTTTATTTTTTGCTTACAAGTTCTGACATTGTCAGTACTGTTCAGGATAAATTCAAAACTTAAACTTGAATTAAATAACTTGAATTTCAAAAGTAATAAGATGAAGAAAAAAATTTACGTTAATTTATTTAAAATATCAATCTCCAAATATCGTCACTTTAATTTTTTGTTTCATTTTCACAGTATGAAAAATACAATTCCTTCAACATGCAAAACTGCTCTTGATGACATTTTGGCATGTTTAATTAAGTATCCTACGAGGCAATACCTGCCTAATGCAATATGAAAAGTAGAAGAAACTAGAATTGGTTGTTTTTATTATTAAAACAAGCGGTCATTCATATTTTTCTAATAAAATGAATAATGTCACTGCCATTTAACTTTGATTGTCAAACTTATTTTCAGCCCAAGACTTCTTTTTTTACGTATTTTATGAGAAATCGACTAATAGAGGCTACCAGTGGGGAAAACAGATTTTTATATTAAAGTTAATATTAAAGAATACTGTTTTTAAAGCCCACTCGATGAAATCAAATTTCATCTTACACACAAACAAATAACCTCTATGATCTGATGACACAAAATGTTTATAGATAAATGATTTTTGATGAAGATGCTTGGGAATATATTTGCAAGTTGTGGAAGGTTGTGGGCGTTTGAAGTGTTATCAGTGTAACTCTCAGGATTCATCAACTACGTGTGGAGAGAAAAACTTAAATGCTGATGCCCACAAGGATTACTACAGTCAGCGGAAGCACCATAATTATTTCTCCACATAATGGTGT